TTTTTTAATAATTTTTTTAAAATTTTTTTTTTTTTTTTTTGTAAAAGTTGGTTTCTACAGCCTATTTGGAGATGGTCATTTTCCTCAAGGCTGCCTCCTGTATCACTAAGATTCTCCTCACAAACACCACAATCGCCCCAATTTCAATGTTCCAATTCAGTTTTCTAATGGCTTTAGATCTGAGATTTTACTATTGTCTCTTTTAAAGGATGGCAGCATTTTACTCCCACATAATGTCAATTCCAAACCTTTAAATGCTCTATCAACCAGGATGCACTGCACAGCAAAGCCAGGTCCAAAGTGAAGTAAAAAAGTGGTTTAAATGCATGTGTTTTAAATTGCACATGTAGAAATGGGTGAAGCATCTTCCTATGGACAGTATACTGTATGTGAAAGAATGTAACTGCAAAATGCAGGGTATCATATTTAACTTTGAGAATTTGTTTCAGCTATGGACAATTTTAAAATATATATGCTTCCATTTCTAGTGAACAATGGATCTGCAAAGAAAACTGTCAGCATTTTACATTTAAAAGAGTCTTGACTTACACACATGCAGGAGTCTCCTCCAATATTAGGAAGCGACATGTACCATGTAAGCAGAAATGGCGGTGGGAGCGTGGACAGTCATCAAAATGAGACCGAACAGCTGCAGCCATGAACTCTGTGAAGACGCATGACAAGACAAATTTAAATCGTACAGTAGCTCAGTGACCAGTTCTCTTTGACAGTAGGGTATCAGGAAACATCCCCATATACAGTAATCAAACTAGAACACTTGAGGAACCATCTACCTACAAAAGGCCTTTAGTCAAGTAAATCCACACTAAATTACAATATGCAATGTAATCCAAGAGTCCTTAGTCAGATTACCGAACATGACACAGGTGGATATCATAAATCTAAAAATAACCTAAGCCTGCAGACAGCCAAAATAACAACACACACTAAATCCTAAAGCTCACACCCATGCCACCACCCTTAGACTGACACCTTTTGTTTCCAGTTACATGTGGCTTTATGGTGGCTTATGTCTCTCGCCCTACCGGGGAGGGACAATTTGAGTCAAGAAAGTCAAAGAAAACTGAGCTGCTGCAAACAAAACCCTCTGTCCATCAACCCGCAGGAGAGAGCACATCCCTTTTTTTTTGTCCAAACAACCGTCTCAGATTTCACTCTGACAAAACAATATAACCAGACAAAAATAACTTATTTAATGAACACCCAGACAAAAGTGGGCTATTTCTTTTACAGTCAGTCAAATTCCTACAATACTGACTGAAATAACAGTAAGTGTTGCACAAGCAGCCAAAAGAGATGCCACAGTGTGACATTCAGGGTGGGAAGGACGATGAAGATCCAGACAGAAAGCTGCATTACAGCCTTGGTCACACACTCCATTCCAACGGTAAATGGGCTTTTGGATTGCAGCCTACATCTATTGTCTCCTTCTTTCAGACGCTGTGAAAGCCTTCTGTTGTCCCTGAGGCATCTGCCTACCAACCCCTCTCTCTTTCCATGTGATTTTGGCAGTGGAATGAGAAGAACACAGACAGAAACTGGCCTTAGGGGCAAGGAAGGTGCTTTTCACATAATCTGATACTGTAGGCGCAGTTTCTTTCCTTTTTTGTGAAGTTGCTGAATATACAGTTCATAGTCTTTGATTTACCACAATTGCTGCCCTCACTCACGCTAAGAGGATCAGTTATCAGTGTGCGCCACATAATGTCGATGCACTGTAGCTCAGTAAGAAGATTTACAGTGTTGAGAACTCCTGCTGTAATGAGCGTTGATCAAGAGCCGCTTTGAGGACAATTGGCACATTTGATCTGAAATACAGTGATCTTTTATTCTCTAAAATGGCTTGACAGTGACCTTGAACCTTTCCCACCATCTTAGTATGACATGACTGTAATAAAAAACTTACTTTTAACTGGGGGGATGTTAGTTGTAGTAGCCACAGTCACTGTGGTCGGGGCACTTCCTCTGCTTGTAGGTGCAGAACTGTTTGGTGACATGTATGGAGCAGCAGAGGAATTTGTATCAATGGAAATTCCAGTATCAGTAAATGTTGAATTGGTCTGTCCTCCATATGTAAAGAGGGAACCTGTACAGAGGAAAATAAACAGGTGGTATTTATTATGGCTTGAGAATGATCTTGAACCCTCCCTTCTGTTCTGAGACATACTTTTAACTGTAGGGATGTTGGTAGTAGTTGTGCTGCGGGTGGTCGTGGGGCTGCTTGTGGAGGCGCTTGGAGCAGCACTTGGGTTTGTTTCAATGGAAATGCCAGCTTCAATAACTGTTGAATTATTTGGCCCTGCTCCAAATGTAAAGAGGGACCCTGCACAGAGGAAAATAAACATCTGTTATAATACAATACATTTCTGATATAAATAAAATAACAAGTCCCTGCAGGAGTATATTAAAAAAAATACCTATACTGTATTTTGCATGATCATGTAGTGATATAGATGCTTCATTAAATAACTGGTGCCAAACACTAGCAACACGGTCAAGCACCGATTGAAAGGATGAGACCAAAGCCCTATAAATACATCAGGTCCTGTGAAGACACGCAATCACAACTACAGAAAGAAAACAGTTCATAAACACAACCAGAGTAGTTTGTTGTAAAAAGGTTGATTAAACCAAAAGGAAAATACTAAATATGGTCATTAAAAATCCATCAAAATCACACAACCACTTTGAATAACTTAAAAGGTATATTAAGTGTCAGTGACCCCACAGAAGATAAACTAAGTACCTTCAAGTACAGAAAGCTCAGTACAAACAAGCTCAGTCCAAACAATAAAAAGTATGGAGTACCACTTAGAAACATACATTTTTCAGGAGAAATGTTATAGTGACTATTACTGCAAGTCCTAAAGTAATCCACTGAATTAAACTAAATTATCAGGGAACAACAGTGAGGAACCTCGTGTCACAGTCACCTTTGTAAACCTAAATCATTACTTTCGTGATACACATAAATTGACCAGTCAGGATAAGATCTACACTCCAGTAAAACCCACTTTCTTCCAAAAATTAGCCACTTACCGCTTATGAGAAAAATTGTATCCCAGAAAATCCGAGTCATTTTGAGGACTTGAAGTCTAAACTATGGTAAACTGACGGGCAGCTTCACTGAAACGTTGAGTAGCTACATTAGTGTACGGTGTTGCAGGCTCCAGGGCGAGCAGCGGTGGCCGACAGCACATCCAGCATTTAATGAGTGGCCAAGCAGCAGGTCTGTCGACTACCGTCCAACACCAGCATCTGATCAACTGACAGCTCGTACCTACTCGTAACAGTGACCGTGCTCTTGTCTGTTCGCCGGCGTTCAACTCCACTGTGTCCAATTGAGGAAACTCGTGTAATCCTGTCAGAGGCTGACCAATTAGAGCCAGAGAGGGGTGGGGGTGGGGGGTCTCCTCTCATTATGACCTCAATATGTGGTACACCTCTTCCACGCTATCTGATTGTTTAAATTGTTTAGTTTAAGGAAAAGAGTGTGCTCTATATTCTTTTTTTTTGCCATTTGCAGAATATGCTGCAACACACTGAGCTGTTTAAAATAAAATTAATTTGTATGTCAACTAGGCTATGTAAGATTTATTGAAACTCTAAAGTACTGTAGGATACAGTACCATTGCATTTATTTATTGAACTAGTTAGTTATTTGATGTTGTGAATTTTGATTTTGAGTTATATACATAAAACTGACTTGATTTATCCTCCTGAAAGAGTTAATAGATTGAAACATTTTTGTTATCTTGTTTGCTTGCTTGTTTTGGGGGCCAAAGAATAGCTTCTCTGGTCCCTGTGTTCATTCATCTATTCATTCAACAGTTTGGTCCAAAGTGCGATATCTTGACAAATATTGGCCAGATCCCCATGAAATATGGTGTGAATATTCAAAGGCTCCCTTCTTATTTTAGTGACTTTCTGGCTTTGCGTGTAGAGCCTCGATGTCTTCTGTCAGGTGAAGAACGGCTGCTAAACTTTTCAGGAAAGTGCAGGAGTTCAGAGACACTTAAATATGTTATTTTAACAGACTTGGACATTGTGCGCTGTGTGTTTTTCTCCTAAACGTGATTTTAACAGCAGAGGAAACATCACACAATAATAAAAACAATTTCCCTGATGGGATAGACGTAGCTAAGATGTTCACTTCTTTACCTTTCAAAGTATCAGCTGACAGTTCTGTGATACTATGTAAATTAGTTTGCTTCATCACAAAGGGAGAGACAAAGAGAGTCCTTTTTAACAAAGTAATTATACACCAGTCACACTGTCTCTTTATTAGCTACAGTTTTCCTAGTACAGAGTTGACCTGCTTGTTTAGATGCACACAGTGAACACAAGTGAAGAGAAAGTCGATGATGTAGCAGCCTGCGATATTTACCATGGCCCCATCTGCTGGACACAGACAAGGAGCTTGTTAAGGACACATTTTCATAAAAGATAAAGTAAAAAATATACATTTAGAAATGTGTCAGAGATGGTAATATATCAACACAAAATAATAATAAAGAAAGAAGTGTTGCCTCAATTACAATAAAGACAGGTTATGTATTGTTTAATTTTACAGACTACATTATATTCAGAGACGTTCCTAATATTCTCACTCTCTCATGTTGATACCTGGGGAGGACAAAATTATAGACACACCTCTAAATATAATGTAGTCTAGTACGACACCACCTTTAACTATGACTTCAATAAGAACTTATAATTGAATTTATATTATGACAAATTCACCAAAAGCTGAAACATTTTGAGCTTCGATAACATGTTAAGGCAGAAGTGTTGCACTGAATTACATTGTACAGGGGTGTACCTAATAAAGTGGCTCATGAGTGTATATCTCACTTTGACTTGTTCTGCTTGAGCTGGAAAGGGAGTCTGGCAGTATAGGGATAAGACTGACTGGAAGAACTACTGAAAGCCCTTTATATGAAGTGTTTTCTATGGCCAATTAAAGGAATGCAACGTCATTAAAACATGTCTCAGTAACTACCAGCAATAATTACAGGACAACAATTAGGAGCTTTTTCAATTTCAATTTATTCGAAGCTCATCTCTATACCAACAAGAGAGATGAGACTCAATAACAGGGTACAAAAACAAATATCTATAGAAAAGTATGCTTAATATTGAAATGTGTCCAAAGATGTTATAACAAAACATGTAGCTCACACGTTTTAAGAGCAATCTTGTTGAGTACGATGATAAAATACCAAGGTAACATATTGTACATTTTCTGTGTGTGTTTTTATACAAAAGTGTCAATGCGAGTCACTCTGTACAACCTTTAGAAAAGAGGACCTTTTTTAATCCACTGCTGTGCACAATCAGTATTTGGAAGGCACTTTGCAACAGACCAAAAGCAGAAATCAAAACATTTAGTTCTATAGAATCCATGAAAACACTTGAGTACCAACATGAGAGAAACAAATCATACACCGCAGTCAGGAAAAACACTGGAACAAAGTTTCATTATTATCTTACAGCATCTCACACTTGATTTCAAACAATAATAACAAAACCCTTATTACATTTTAAGGGGTAAATACTACTAGTGCAGAGTGGATCAAAAAAGGGAAAAGACTTGGTCAAAGACAGAAGTCATGCAGCTGGCAGTGTGACAGTGCGGTGAACAGTGAAACCCTTCCTGCCACCAGCCAGTGATCGACATTCAGCCCCCAGCTTGGCTCACACGCCAGAACACGCAGTCTAGACTTTCAGTCGAAATGGCCATAATTTAACATCCCTCCACATGATAAACGGGGAAAAATCTAAATATGTACAGGACCACCATTGACAAACATTAATCATATTGGTTGGTTCATATATATTTATGTATATATTTATAGAATGTGTATATTAATCATATATACACTTGTTACAATCGCAATAAAAACATAAATAGTATAGGAATGTATTGAATTTAACCAACTAAATCACTCACAAATAATAATTAAACCGAAAGCAGAAAACAGATAAAACTCTAACACACTCTTTTCACAGAATCGCGCACACACACACACACACACACACACACACACAGCCCCTTCACTGGTGGACTCAGTTGGATTCACATCACGACACAAATTTTACAGAAGAAAACATTTGCTTATGAGAAATATGTTAATTTAATGATGTGTGTGTTGTTTGAGAGGCTGTTCTATAACATATAATTCCATTTCATATTGGGCACTTTTCAACTGTACTTCGACATAATGTAGACCTCCCCTTTCAGTGTACACACAACTAGGGCACACTGTGCTTCATGATTGTGAAGAGTCTGTTTGGATTTTTCATTGTTTGCTGAAGATGAAATTAAGCTGCAACAATTAGTCAAAATTACTCAACTATTCTGATAGTAATTTCAGCTTTTATAAGAAAAAATGTCATTTTGTTTCACCTTCTCAAATGTGAGTTTACTGCTTTTCTTAATCAAACATGGCAGTATACTATACACCGATCAGCCATAACATTATGACCTTATGCCTAACACTGTGCATACAGCAGTCAGTGTGGCTGTTTCGTTGACACTTGTGTCACTCCGCAGGTCACGGTGCATCTTCTGTGAATCTATTCCATAGTTCTGTTGGGAAGAGCACCAATTTGTGATAAATACAGTTTATAAAGGTAGAGAAAACTGTGGTCGTGAGGACAAGTTAGAGATCATTTTTTAGACTAATTCAACAGCCTCCTCACTCTTGGTGTGATATCACCACTATAGCCACTGAATGTTTCTCTTCATAGAAACCAATGTACAGTATTTCTCATTTTCAACCATTTTAACAGGTTCAAAGGATGAATGAAATGTACAAGTTTAATCTACAGTGATCAACCTCATCATCAGTGAGCCGTGGGCGTCCATGACCCTCTCGCCAGTTCACCATCTGTCTATCCTTAGACACCGTTGGTAGGTACTAACCACTGCAGACCAGAAACACCCAACAAGCCCTGCAGTGTGGGAGATGCTCTGACCCGATCGTCAGCTATTACAGTTTGGCCCTTGTCAGTCACTCAGATTCCAACACATAAACATCGAGGACTGAATGTTCACTTGCTCCCTAATATACCCCACACACTGACAGGTGCCACTGTAACAGTGTTATTCACTTCACCCGCCAGTGGTCATAATGTTATGGTAGATCAGTGTATATAAAAATAATTTGGCATCAGAAAAACATTTTCATTCCATTGGACGCCAGATTAAAAAAATATTCACATTAAAGAAAAGAAGAACGGTGGATCCATGGCTCCAATTGTGCATTAATCTGATGAAACATCCTGGACTATACAACATCTTTACTGTAATAAACCAAGATGGATCTCTTGTTAACATAATGTCCATAAGCGCAAACACATGATACGTCACAAGCAATACTGACAGATGAGGGTGGTCGGTACAAGAGGTGTAGGTGATGAAGAAACACTGCAGAACTAAAGTGAGCTTAATAATCGACTCTGTAAAAGTTCCATGATGTTTGTTCGGTCCAGACGCTGTTAGATCAGGATGTGAACCCTCCTTCTTACTCCCTAGCTGTTGCCGAAGACACAACAAATACACATCTCCATTTAACATAATTTAGAGTGAAAATGTATCAAAAATGAGCAAATCACAAGATTTTTGTTTGACAATTTGAAAACCTGTACACAATAGCAAGGACGTGAATAAGTTAATAAAATATAATCTAAATTTCTCAAAATATACTTGACCTTGGTCCCTGTTTAATGTACATAACTGATTTAACACCTAACAAAGAATAGTTGGAAACACTGTCACTGTAGGAGTGGGATGCAAAGCTAATTCCTAACAAGCTCAAGGCATGTTTCAGGCCCAGTTTCACATCGACACTTATCCTGCACACAGTATAGCTGGCAGGGCTTCCCTCTCCTTACCTCTGCCACTTCACAAATTAATAATTCATTTTACAAATCAAAAAATTATAAAAGGGCTTTTGACATTTAAAAGAGCTGCTAGAAGATGCGCTTCACACTGTGCAAATCCCTTCAGCTGTCACATCTGTCTGGGTACGATTCACCACCGCTCAGGTCAGTGGTGAACAACAACAGACCTCAAAGCGTTGGCATCACTACCAGTAGGACTGCAAGCACTTTTTAAGATCTGAAACACAGTGGAGGAAAGTAACTAAGTACATTTACTCGCATACAATTTTGAGGTATCTGTACTTTGAGTATTGATTTTGTGCTATTTCATAATTCTACTTCACTACATTTTAGAGGCAAATGTTTTTTTTCCCTCCACTACATTTATTTTACAACTTCATTTGTTAGTTACTTTTCACAACCACATTAATACAAAAAATGACATGACTATTGCTCTCTGGTGGAAAATTCACCTAGCAGTACTTCAAATTATGAGGATATATGCTGGTTAAAACTAACTCCACCTTTACTGGCTACAGCATTAAATGTAATGAACAAAAATAATGCACCAGTACTTATCAAATCATATGATCTACATTAATGTTAAATGTGCCATTCTGCATTATTGAGTACTTTAAGTATGTTTTGATGTTGATACTTTTGTACTTTAACATTTTGAGGGCAGGACTTTGACTTGCATTTTTACACTATTGTTACTTTTACTTAAGTATGAGAAGTGAGTACTTCTTCCACCACTGCCAAAAAAAAAAAAAAAAAAAAAAGCGGTGGCGCTACTATGGAAATAAATACTCTGTTAATTTAATATGACTTCCTATTCTCTAAAGCTACAATAAACAAAGCATTATAGTATTATTTTATGAGGTAGCTCAATTTAAAAAATGTCAGATTCTTTTAGTGCCAAATGAGCTTTGTGTGCACACAGTAAAAATTCTGATTTAAAAGTTAAAGCTTTTAAAAAAGTGCTTCAGAACCATCTGTTATCAACTGCAAACCTATCAACAGTGGCCTTTAAACTGTTTTTTTGTATAGAGCTGTTGCTTATAAATGCTAATAAATGTGTACTGAAATATGCCATGGGCCTGTTAGGAATGTAATGAATGTAATGAGTTATTCAAAATGACCAGATTCCAAGCAAAACCTGCTTCAAAATGGAGGCCAGATTAAATCACTGTCCTCAAGAACAAAACAAAAGCAGAGAACAAGAGAACTCAGCCCTCGTGTTGCTCTGAGCTAAAGACATTTACAGCCTTCAGGGGAATAAGGAATATGAAGCATTACAATTATTGTAATGGCCAAGGGTTGATTTACCAAGTACATCAGAGCAGTCAGTGGCTTAACAGACAACAAATTACTCATTGCAGCAAATAATTCATCTCATGTCAAGAACATACTGTATGTGCACCTAAGAAAGCTCAAGAACACAAGTCAAAAACTGAAAGCCTGCCAAACACAACTTCAACCTTTCATGTCATTTCATTCTAAAGACAATTTAAAGACCACACACAATTTTCATACTCTGAAATTTTTGAAAAAAGTAGGAAACTTATGGCAGTTTCTGACAAAAATACTGGATACACATGAAGTAAAGTAACAAACAGAAGAAGTAGTCTTGAGGCAATATTATTCCCAAATAAAGAACATCCTCTGTGGATGACCCGGGTTTGTCCAGCGAAGGAGAAGTTTTGTAAGAATTCTATTAAATATGTCACTTCCCTCCGAAGTCAATTCCACTTTGACCTGCCTCAGCATCCACCAGTGAAGATGCAAAAGCAGACTGGACAATCTGAAAGCCAAAGGATTCAAGCAAAGACATGTTTTGTTGAGGGGAGAAGGGAGAAGTCAGGGATGGGGCCAGCTCACTTAAGACAGACCCTGAAACCCCCTGGGCCTTCTGGGCTTTGTGAACTCTGTGCTGGTGCTTGTTGAGGTAGGACTTGGTGCGGAAGGCCTGACCACAGATCCCACAGGTAAACTTCTTCTCAGGGTCCGTCTTGGCTTTGGAACCCTCTGGGGATCCCAAGGCTCCCACAGAGGCTCCATTACACGCTAGAGAGGGCATCTCGAGCTCTGGCCCGTCAGGTTTGGGTGGAGATTTAAGCTCGTCACCGTTAGGCAACTCCCCAAATGAAGGATCGGATTCTTCTGACTCCAGATGAGGACATTTCCCAACGTTTTCTCGCCCGTCTGAGGTAAACAAGAGCATGGATAGGAAGAAGGGTGTGAGGTACAAGGAGGAACAAGGGGAAATGGGAAAAAGAGAGGCATGAATTAGGACAAACGGATTATAAAACAGGTTCTGTCAAGCAACTTCAAACCGTAGTTGGATGGTACCTGCAAAAACTTTAAACATCAGGTGTTAAGTCAGAAGGGAACCAAGCACAAGTAGAACAAGTTGTGACAATTGATTTTACACAAACAATAACTACACATGGTAAAAAAAATAAATAAAATAAAATAAAAAAAAGACAGTTTCTTCAGAACACTGGCTATAGCATATAAACCATACAATCATCTAGCTCAGTCCATCTGCCCAGTGTCCACTGAAAACTGTGCTGTGCTCAACCCACCAGTGGGTCATGCTAGCACCATGCCCCCACCCACCCTCCAACTGGACTGTACTGACCTGCGACAAGCCCAAGGACGGGGAAGCCAGGCACCCCATCAGAGCGACACTCCCAGAAATACGGACCCCCACCTGGCTTCCCCATGAGCAGCTCAGGCTGCAGGCCCAAGGCTGGAGGGCCAGGCTGGGGAAGAACTCGGTGTCCAGAGAGCCCATGAAAGCGACCCTCTGCCTCAGATGAGGTGAAAAGCAGCTGGCGACTGGCACACAGGTCTACACAGCACCCGGCCAGGGGAGAAAGGAAGGGGGAGGGACAGACACAACAGGCCGGCGGAAACCATATGGACAGAATTACCTTCATTTCATCACTAGTATTTGAAATACTGTCCTTCAACACAGTGTGCTGACTGATTTACTGGTATGAATGAATCCATGCTGAGTGAGTCCCATCATTAAAGCTGTCATTTATATAGAAATGAACTTTTTCCCCCTGTTTCTATTTCAGAAAACACCAAATCTCTGAACTGAGTGACTTGTAAATAATTAACATAATCCATACAAACTAACAAGTACAGGTCTTTCTCACAGTGGGCACGTTGACTTCTTAAACAGGTGTAATTAAAATCATTATAAATGACCACATTTAATGTAGGTGTAACAATGTCGGGCTCCATTACTATGTATGCTCACTGACACACCCACATGAACACAGTCATTATTAACATTACATCTGTGTGTCCACTTGTAACGCGTCAGAATACCCCTGTGAGAAATGCCCATAATCTGTATAACAAAGTATAATGTTCACACACATCTTGTTTGTCTCACATATGGCATGACACCTCAATGAAGACCACAGTGAAAACTGCAGTAAATATAGTGACAGTACACATTTCTGGCCATGGCCATTTCCAGGTGTAAATCACATTTTCAGCCTTTTCTGATCACGCATCAGCTTTATCGCTCAACGATTTCCTCACTGTGTGAGTTCTAAGCTCTCTTGTGTTGGCTCACATTGTGTGTTCGCAACCTATTTAAGTCCACTAATCCTCTCACAACTTAAACAATGCTAAATAAATAAATATAAAGGTCTAAATTACACTTAACATAACCTGAACAAACAAATAAACCAGAAAAATATGCCTAAGGACACACATTATAAACAATTCATCAAGTGACATTGCTGAACATTTGCAGGCTAAACTGTCCAACAATGTTTTTAACATCTCTGTAATATGAACAGATCTTCTGTAATGTTCCCACTGTTTGACTTCGCTCCAAGAAAAAATGTATATTACAAACGTTGCACTTAATTTTTACAAATCACGAATGAAGTTACCTGAACTACACATCAATACACAGCCTGCCACAGTTCCCTTGGTTTTCATACTTAATATGAACCTGACCCAATATCTGTTACGTGTACAAATTCATGATGTCATAGGCCAACATCTCAACAGTAAGAACAAGTGATCTAGCCACACTTCATGTCTTTATCAACAGATCTCAGGAGGGATAAATATGGTGATGCAGCTGAAGCATAGCAATAATAATAATAATGATAATAATGATAATAATAATAATAATAATAAGACCAAAATTGCACAGGGCATCAAAGTCAGCAAATAATTGCCAGCTATTATCTACGTAAATTGACTTATTGTTTCAGCACTATTCTCACTGAAATCAAAACTTTTGTCCCAAGTCAGTTACAAGTACAAATCAAGAGAGAAAATGATTTTCTGCCATATACTTTTGGCCAGTTGTGGCTCGCAGTTTGCTGTGCACTGTCTCTATGCTACTGGTTCTCCCACAAAAACAAAATGGCACAACTACAAAAGTTTCAATAAACAAAGGGCAAATGGAGCATACATTAGGACAATCGTGCAACACTGTGCATTGTTGAACAACTGCTGATGGACCAGCCGAGCAGGAACAGACGCTGTTAATCAGATGCTGCCATGGCCATGCTGGACAGATGCATACACAAAAAAGCAAAAGTGACTCAGCACCCCACATTCTTATGTGGTTATAAGTAGGAACTGTCAACTCCAAAGTCTAGAAAGAGTGGAAATGCTCAATCACTGGATGTGATGATATGAACTTAAAATCATTATTAGGCTTGAGAATGGAAACATAAAGAGTTAACTCTTTGAGTGACTTGTAGTGTTTTAGTAACATCGTGTCAGACGCCTCTGCTGATCAAACTACAGACAGTCATGATTTCCACTGCAGCTTCATTTATGTAGAATGCATGTGACCTAATGACTTGACTGTCATATTGATCTGTATTTGGTCTATAGCAAAAGATGCCCTGCTTATTCTTTTCTGCAGGCGTTTCTTTGATCCCGACTTCAGACATGCAACTACTGTGAGCGCACTTGTTTCCCACACTGCAGCTCTTTATGTGGACCCCTCCCTGTTCAGCCAACATGACTACCTGCCTAATCGTGGGATCTGCTGCTCATAATAAAAATTGTGTAGTAGTTAGAAAAGTTTTTCAACAAATGTCCTCAACTTCCAGTTGCCTCCCACGGAGAGATTCGACACTGCCCCCTCTGAACAAGTGGCAATTAGCTAACAGAAAGACAACCAGCAGATGAAACTGCATGATAGTAAATGTTTAAATGAAAAGCTTGGCAGCAGAGACTGATGTATGCTTGTGTTTTAAACATACACAAAGATGCAGCAGCATGTTTCTCCGAAAAGCAGCAGAGCAAATGAAAGCCAGAAACATGAAAATCTGGGATGGGGTGGGCGACTGCTTGCCTTCCACTGAGCACTGGCGTCCCATGTGGTAAGGGGTGCCGTTGTGCATCTGCAGCTCCCCCCTTGGCTCAGGGAAGGTGTGCATTGTGGCAGAGGGGGGCAGTGGAGAGCCATGGTGTGTCTTTATATGCACCTTAAGGTAGGATGCGGTGGAGAAACCTGGGACCAGAAGAACAAAGAACAAAGCAGTTGTTTGACACACTCGGGGGGGGACGCGGGGGGGGGGGGGGGGGGGCCTTAGCTATGAGAGAGGCGTCCTGTTAATAAGGACAGGCTTGGAAACACGCTCAGAAGTGATGAAAACTAAAATAAGTCTGGGACACCAATGGTCCTGCCCTGCGTAAACAAACTAGCTCTTTTCAAGCACTTTGGGTCCCATTTATCCACCCGAGGAACTTTATCAGCTATGGAGTAAAGGAATTTTAATGCAAAGTGTGATGTAAACTGTAAAGAGATGTTCTTGAAAAACTAATCCCAAGACTTTCATCTACCCTCTTATTGCCAAATGACGCACCTACAGGTACAACAAAATGCTATCAGCTCTCTGCTTCTGAGGATATGTTCAGACAAAAAACAAAAAATCTTACCAAACCAATGCAGTGCCAGTAGGAGGTACTGGTTACTGGTGAGAATATAAAATATGAACCAAGGTTCAGTTTGAAGACCAAACAAACAAAGGCACTGTAGTTCAGTTTATACTTCTGTGAGGTGTCATTGCAGTAATGTTCTTATTCTCTTTCTCAAAGCTCACGAGGTGAACTGTATTATATCTGGTACATTCACTTGCACATATCTGGTTGGTCGGCTGACACTGCATTGCCAGATAATGCTGCACAACGTTCAACCTGAAAGTCAACTTGCACAGTCCCAGGTGAGACTACCCTCATGTATTATGGGAAACCTTAGGTGTTCTGGACCAGGCTACAGGTTTACATTAGAAACAAACATTTAGTAAATAAAATATAATAATGAAAGCAGTCTAGCCATAGCTTCAGAGCCCAGTCATTCTCCTATTAGTATACAGCATGTCTGAGCAGAATGTCATTGTCGCTACAGACAACAAACTCTGAACATCTGTCAGTACACGGATCAGAGCTGTCTCAGAGGAGCCTGGACAGTGTGTGAGTATTTGGTATGCTGAGTTGTTGTTGTAGTTTTTTTTTTTTTTTTTTTTTTTTTTTTTTTTTTTTTTTTTTTTTTTTTTTTTTTTTTTTTTTTTTTTTTTTTTTTTTTTTTTTTTAAAGATTACCTTTGTTGCAAATACCACAGTAGTTGTGGGTTCCTTCACTGTGTTTCTTGAGGTGGTCTGTCATGTAGGCAGCTCGTAGGAACTTGCCACAAACTTTGCAGGGGATTTTGTCCTCGTGGCATGCAAGGTGTGACCGGAGCCGATCTCTTGTAGCAAAAGAGGCATTACAAATCTGTAGCGCAGAAATCAACATATTAACACGTCACACATGAGGATTTAGCTGTGGGTTTTGAGAATACATTAACCTTGATATATCAATCTTAAAAGTTACCTGGCACTTGTGGGGTCTCTCTGTTGTGTGAACTTGTTTGATATGTCCATTCAGATGATCTGGTCTGAAAGGAGAAAAAAAAAACCTTATGCCCACCCAACCTAAGAACATGATCATTTCCACACAGTAATCCTCACATGAACTCTAAGAAATTCTCTATTCTGAAAACAATCTAATGAAAGACTCTAGTTTGAGCTTCCTTAACTGGGTACTACTCTGGGAGGCGTTCTATGCAAACTAATATGTGAAATGATTAGACCTACCTCAGCAACCACATGCCTAGTTATTTTCATGCCATCTTAGTATTTGAATGTTATTAAATTTTTATGGTGCTGCTTTTTAAAAGAGTTTTCTTCAGGACCCACCACAATCCACCTACAAGCCAAATCCTTTAGAATATCATAAACTGAGGCTTCTAAAATAATAATCAAAAAGGCATGCAAGGCAAAATATTAAATATTTGGGGAATTATGACAATTTACTGTGGGATCATTATACATGTCGAGGGTTATTCGAGGCTAAATGTTAACTTAAAAACTAGTTTGCTTTGCTCGTTTCTCAGACTGTGCAGAACCAGGAAGCTATGTCTTGTTAAACAAACAGTGCAGTCTAGTTCCATCAGTCACATTTACCCAACATGTCGTTTCTTTTCCCAGAATACATATGGATTAAAAAAAAAAGAAAGGACTTTTTTGTCACGGGTTGAATGTGTCATGTGAAAGCCATATCTAGTTTAAAAAAAAAAAATTAAATAAAATATACCAAAAATAACACAGTAATGTGCACACTGGGGAAAGTAACTATAGAATCTACGTCTGCTCAGTATACCAAGGACTTAATATAATAGTTTAAAGTAATGTAGTATTTTATAAGATCTCTCCAAAGACTGATGAGCTCTGTAACATCAGCTGGCCTTATAGGGCAGTTAATACAGCTTATGTGAGTGGCACTGGCATGAGCACAGGCTAAAAAATTATGCATGGGGCCACTAATAGGTTTCCTATTCTAGATAAACAAAAAATATCAAAAGAGCTCTCAACATAAAACATTGTGCCTTTATCACAACAGACAGGTGTTACTAATAAAATGTACAAAAATTCCTTTTTATTCAAGGGCTCTATTAAGCCATGACATTGTGACTGAGCATAAACAATGAGGACCCTGAGACAAAAGCAGTCCATTAAAATTTAAGTCTTCAGTTAAAAGGCCTGTTTTTACAACCAATAATAAATCTTCGTTCATGCCAAGTACTGAGATAATCCAAAAAATACTCACTCCGAACCATTTTTTTTCTTGAAAGTGGCTAACCTGATGAAACTAATTTTGCAATGGCTTTCCCTCAAACATCCTCTTTGTGCATTTTTGTAAACATGACTGCTTTTTATTAATAATTATTTCTCTTGTATTGCAACCTCCACAGCAGCAGGTGGTGTCACTGGGTCTGCAATGCTGATTCTGGGAAATTGGTGTGTTTGAAGCCAAATTACACATTACACAGTTTCCCAATGACTGTCAGTCAGTCATTGGGAAACTGACAATGACAAAACTTTTACATTTTTACAATGACTGTCACAGCACAAGTTGGGTCAACTCACAAGAATGCCTATTTAACAAACTAGATCTAGATCCTGGTGCTGGTAATAAAATAGTTGACCACACCATGCATCTATGCAACTGGACAGTAACTGCTTCAATTTTTGCTTTGTTGTGAAACTGTGGCCTCACAGTTCTGTGACTGAGACTACAGAATCCTGCAGTGACTGTCCTTCAGGTAGGCTATTGTTTGTCATGTACAGATTCCCAGAGTTGGCCCTGTGTTCATAGTGGCAAACAACACTAGAAACTGCGCAGTGTCCTGGAAGATTTTGGAATCCCACACCTCCAAAAAACACAAAACATGCTGTCAGTGGGAATACAACTCACCGTGAAAACCCTTTACCACAGCTTTGACACACATAAGGTTTGCCGACTGATCCATCATGGGACCGCACATGGTATGACATCCTGTCTTTGCGTTTGAACCGGAGCCCGCACACATGGCATGCGTACGGCTTCTCTCCGGAATGGGAGAGCTTGTGTCGGTTCAGGTGGTAAACGTCGCGGAAAACTTTCCCGCAAATGTCACAGCCGACGTGCCGCCTGGTCCTCTCTCGTTTGCGGCCGTTATCCAGTGTCAGCCCTCCGTGTAACAGCACACCGTTTTCCACCAGGCCAGGCTGAGACATTAAAGACATGGCGCCCGCTGTTGACAGGCCCTCGCCCACGTTGTTTACACCGCCGGTGGAGGCTCCGTGTTGCGCTTCGTGGTTCTTCAAGCGGGAAGCTTCTGTAAACGCTTTACCGCAAGTCCCGCAAGGAAACAGTCCATTGTCTTTCTGGGTGCTGTGATTAAAGTGTACAGCCTCCACTACACCGCTGGCTTTCTTTGGTCTCCCCCTGCACCGCTTTGACCCCGGGGAGCCAGCGTCGGGATGAAACGCGTTCCCCGTTATTTCCGTTGATGGGGAAACCGACAGTCCCTCGACAGGATCCAACATTGGCACCCACGACTCCCCGCCCGTCCTCAC